ATAGAAAGCAGCTTGAGAATATTTTTAATGCAGTTCAGAGGTGCTAGAATAAGTTTGACCGAAAACTCTACGAATGTGTATTTTTATGCAGCTTCAACTGAAAAATAAAGAACTAGAGAAAGAAGCAAGGACATGTTCTTCCAAATTACAGAGCCTGGGGCTGCTGTAACTCTACGTCGGGGGTTGCCGTAGTTTGGCTGACTCCTTGACTGGGCAACTTTTGACCAGAGCAGAAGTGACAGTCCAAAGCTCTGATAAGTTCACAATGATTACACAGATTCTGAAAGGCAAAAAAAAAATTGTGTAGTGATTTCAATTAAGATACCTTCAAGATAAAGTTCAGCTGTATGCTAAAAAAAGAATCTGCCAACTTCTGTATTTGGTTAGTTGTTCTTTGGGTTGAAAGTGAACTTAGGAGGCAGGAGTGAGCTGGAAGTTCAGATTTCCTTCCCTTACTGTATTAGGAAACAAAAGTTGTTGCACTGTCTGTGCAGCCTCTTCGTCTGCACGGAGCAGAGGGCAGCAGTGCGGACTGCGGAAGCTGCAATGAAGCAAAGTTTACTGAAAAACTCCGTTTGTTTTTAAAGAGGCTTAGGGGGTTTCAAATCACAGAGCCAACTATTCTATTAGCGAGGGGCTTTTCTCAACAACGTAGGAAGTTTAGAGTTTGATATGATCTGCCCTAAATCTTTCCTGATTGCTTAAGACTTAACATTTGCTCTGTGAGCCTTTGATGGTGGCTGACCTGAGCCAGTCCTGATTTTGACGTGGATGTTTTTGTGCTTATCTTACTGGGTCTTTACAGCAAAGGCCAGCACTTTTCAGGAGCTGCTTGACCATTCTTCTTCATACAGCATTGTGCAATACAAAGGTATAATGTACCCTATTTCATCAGAAACAGTCCTGATAACTCTTCCAGCAACAGAGCGCTCCACATTTCCTATTTAAGCAAGCCCGAAGCACTAAGATTTCCCAAACTTCCAGAAGTCAGAAAACCTTTCCCCCAACCAACACTTAGTCTGCATTTTTCTTCCATCTTCACATCCTGTTGCTTCTGTTGCTATCACTGAATTTCATCCAGAATGGCTGGGGCTCCTTGGCACCAAAACCCTGGGTGTGAATACTCCTTTCACCTCCCCTTTGCTGTTCACCTGTGTTCTTCATCCTGTAGTCTGGTCTTCACCACGTTTTTCTACCTTCATAGTAATGTTGTTGCTCCATGGGAATGGGGCAGCTCTTTGAGAAAGCTAACCCCAGAGCAAAGCAAGCCAGACCTGTCTGCCCCAAAACTGCATGGAGGGAGACGACTGCTGCCCGTCGTTCCAGCTGTTACCCCTGAGCTTCCCTCTCATCTTCAGAGATCTGTTCCCCTGGGTCTGGAGTCCCAGCTGTGACCTCCATTGAAAAAAGGGTGGAGGAACAGAGCGTAGGTAGCAACAGAAGGGCAGAAATGGCAGTTAAAAAAATGGGAGGGAATAATAGAGAGGAAATGGGAATGAGAGAGGGAGAGAATGAATGTAAGAAGGAAGGAGAAAAGGGTCTCACTTTTGGAGTAGAAAATCTTGACAAAAACAGTAGAATTTGAAGAAAATACAGAAAGTAGACACTGCAAAGTGTGTGCCAAGGCAATAGAAAATAAAGACAAAGATGGGAAGGAACAGAGGAAAGCAGCAAGAGCATTTTGACCCTAAAATTAATGCTATGTTGTTTCTAACAACAAAAACACTGATGCTTGTCTGAAGTGAGTATTGAACCCTCTCCTAGTCTGAATAGTCTTTCCTTGTGGCTGTTAAGCTGACACTTCTGGTTTTGATGTGGCCCACCTGGAATTCTGGCCTTGTTTTCAAAGGCAGCTATGGATAGCCTATTAGGAACTTTAAAAAGAAAGAAATATCACTGTCAGCCTTATTCTGAATAAAAATAGGGCTTACAAATGCTGTCTCTATCTTACATCCCAGCATTCCTTCGATATACAGAGAGGTCTGTCCTGCTGATACCTTTGGTTCAATGAAGATTGGAGGAATATAAAGTTAATCATTATTATGTTTATCCTGGCTTACATTTTCTTGAGTTAGCCGTGCAGATTTGTAACAGACAAAAAAGACTGGATTGCCAATTCCTCTGTAGTCAGTACATCAAAACTTTCAAAAATTTGGCTAATTTTTTATTAAAAAGTACATGGAAAGTGTACTCTTTGTAGTAAGAAAATAGGAACTTGTTAAAAGGTCCATTTTTGATGGCTTTCCTTAGAGTTCGTTTCAGTTGTGATCTGTAGGTCACATCTGTAGGTCGAGCGCAGAACAGGTAGAGCCATTCTGTTAGCAAGCAAAGATGTGCTCAGCTATGGTCAGAGCTGGCATAGTTTTCTTCCTAGTGAGAGATCAGCTGTCCTCTCCCACTCCCTTTTCAGCAAACGGTCTGGTTTCTTTTTAAAATTTTCCTATGCTTGTAGGTAAAATGGAAAAGCCCCCAAAACTGCAGAGCGAAAAGGTATGAGGACTTCAAAAGTCAAAACCAGATTTCTTCAAACACAGCAATCAGAAATATTTCCTCCGTAAAGCAGGTTTGCTAACTCAATATGTACCTGGTAGGAGGGAGGAAGTGTCTAAATTGTGCTTTCAGATCGCAAGTGCAGAGTGGAGAAATTGCATTTGCAGAATCTCCTGAGAACTAAGGGCACTTGTGTGTAGGCAAAGTTGGAAGGTAAGATAGAAGATTTTGAAGCAGAGCTCTCAGCTGAGTCCCAGTGGTATAAGAGTGGCAATGCCTCCTCCCTGTGTGACATCTGGATTGCATTTTCTGTGCGCTGACACACGCAAGCAGCAGCTTCTCTTAGTGGTGCACGTGTAATGTGGCTCTTCGGGAGGCACTCGGGCATTGTGGCCTTGACCTGCAGTTCTCACGCTGCTTTTATAGAAGTATTTAGTCCTCACTAGGTCTCTGTAATGCAAATAAGAACTTGTTTTTATATCTGAGGGTTAGACTGTAGCGTCAATACAAAGAGTCGGTGGTGTTTCTTGTGGTGCTTTTGAGAGGTGGTTTCCAGTGGTGACCGGTTGCTACCGGCCTGAGAAGGAATAGTGACGGGAGCAACCAAAGTCTGAGCCTGAGTGGCGCCTGGTGATGCCCTGCTGAGGCTGCTCACCGGGGCAGGAGGAGAGGGCAGTGCTAAATGCACCTCTGCGTGTTCGGTTATACTGGTGGCTTGCATGTTGCAATTTGCTGCTGGTGAAGAGCAGCATAGACAGTGACCCTCAACTGCTGAATTAGGTCATGCTGGACCTCTGTGCTGAGACAGTGAGGTATGCTGAGCCCGCTTCCCTTCTGATAAGAGGAGCTTAGTGATGGGAAATCTTCAGGGTGTGTTTGCAACTCTCAGAAGAAAGAAAGGATCCTCCCTGGCAGATGGAGAGCTTCCTTAGACTCACAGCTACCTTTAGAAATGCAGTGTGTGCAATTACCTACTCAGAGCAGGAGCTTTCTAGCTGCAGGCCATACTGAGATCTTGACCTGGATGAGGGTTAGTTTGTCCTCAGGTCTGGCCGTGAGTGAAAAGTTTGGTTTAGAGACATTAGTGAGCTAGAGTTGCCCTCCTAAAGGAGAAAAGGCCATTGCTGTATAGTCGAACACAGCAGGAGTACTTTGAGATGCTAAGAATCTCTTCTCATATTTTTTGTTGATGCAGGTGGTCTTTTCTAAGTACAAAGTCAAAGAAATTACTGTTTGCCCCTTTCTTCATCTCCCCATCCAAGTGTCATATGGTTGGCAGGAACACTGAAACCTCCCCATCTCCAATTCCTGTTTGCAATTCCTGGGAAAGAGCTGAGGGAAGTGAGGTGGAACCATATGTCCTCCTGCATTTGCACTCTGAAGACAAAGTTATTTGTGAGCCTTGAGCATAAGGGTGGGAGAGCTGCCAAGCCAAAGTTGTTCCCAAGTATCTGTAAACTAAATCTGATTCCTTAAATTAATCCAACTAAGGAACTTTTGCTCTGGCAAAGACTTGTAAATATTACAGTACCTGTCACTTTTGGATGCTGCTTTCTGTTTTCATAGCGGTGAGCTGAAAACTTTGAAGTCTGAGATGTTTTGTTTCGCTTTTTAGAGGTTGACCTCAAAGTATCAATCTTTCTGCTCCTTTTGGTATGCGAGAAAATAGTCTTTTCTCTTTGCGGAAAACTTTTTTTAGCAGCAGCATTGTTTAATGGCCAGAGTTCTCACACAGTGTCAGAGCATTCAAGCAGACATTGAGATACATGTACCAAGATGTGAAGAGTGTTGCCTCTCTGTTATCTTCAATGCCTCAGTTTTCCCTTCTCTGTGACGGAACAAGGCATAAATATATATTTGAAAGGGAAAAGCATTTGCTCTGAAGTGGCTTCTGGATGTACAGCTCTCTGTGAACATACAGATAATTGTGCTGGGGTTTTAGTTTACTCGTGACTTGAGTTTTGCACCATCTGCACAGACCAGATGACCACTGCGTTTATGGCAGATCCAAGGGATAGATCAAGGAACATCCCATTGGATCTTGGGATGTATTATTGCATGTCTGACATCTCGGCTAAAGTAAACTCACACTGGAATCAGCCACCCGAGGGACCTGCTCTAATGGTAGTTTGTGAGGCTGCTTATTCCAGTGGCATTTGCTAACTATACAGGTTAACTCTGCTTTTGAAAATGCCATTTAAAGGCAGAATGCTAAGAGATAAGATCCCAGTTGCTTTTTACCTCTCTGGCTAAGTCTTGAGCAGTTACACATTCATAAGTAGATTGTAGGTTTTGCCTGACTACCTGTGAAACTTGTTTTTGTATATTGTCTTTCCATTTTGAAGTGTCTGAAAATTAGACCTTTCATCTATGAAACCCAAATTCCCAGAGCTTTAATATCAAAGTAAAGTTGACTGTCTAGAAGCAGTTACTCTGGAGAGAGCTGGTAATGGTGCAGCTGAGAAGCTAAACTGCTCATCTCCATTTGAGTCTTTTTTTTTGTCTTGTAGATGAGAGAATCTGTTCACCACCCTTCATGGAGCTGACAAGTGCCTGTGGAGAAGATACCTTGCAGCTAATAGAGAAGAAGGGACTGGCGTTCCCATTCAGTATGTAAATGGCCTTTCTTTGCAGCTTCTAGCAGGTTCTGAATATTCCACACACACCCCCAGCAACGTTGTAGCCAGCGTTTTAGGACTGGATGTTTCATTGCTGATATGTACAGGATGTTATAACCTTCCTGAAGCAAATGATCTGAAGCAATCTGCTTGGAGCATGGAGCAAAATATCTCCATATCAGCTTTTCTTTAGCCTTTTATTGGTGTTCATTACTTTAAACACCTTGCTACAGTAAACATGATTTCCTGGGAAATGCTAATAATTCTAACAAAGTTAGCCTCTTGCTCTGAACTTGTGCAACAAGTTTCTCCTGCTGGTTGCATTCATTATTTTTCTTTAGCAAATGGTTCTCTCGCTGATGGCTCCCTTTCTTCACCACCCCTGCTGTTCCCTGATCCAGGTTCCAAGCATAGTGGATAGAAATAGGAGAGTAAAAATTACCATAGGCACCAGGCTGCAAGGGCCCAGCCTCAAGCAGGTGCTGTGGGCTGTTTGTCCACAGTATGGAGGAGGAAACAGAACTGCTGGTCTGTTTCTACTTTTTTCTTCTCCTTTATGGTTGCCCATGAAAAATATGTCTTGTCTTAGTTTGGACCAGCCTTTTAGGTTGCCTGCCCATCCCTAAGACCAGGGAGGTGTGGAAGCAGTTGGTTTCGGCCGTGTCTCAGCTCCATTGCTCTAAGGAGGACAGTAGGACCTTGTGGTACCTGCAGCATCGCTCCAGCCTTGGGTGAAATCACAGCCTTGTGAAGGAGCCCTCAGGCTTAGGCAGGCCTGAGGCAGAAGGGCAATATGGTACTGAGAGGAGGTTGCCAGCTGGGCTTCACACCTCTGTCCGGTCCTAATAATGACCTGAGCTACAGGGAGGAGCTAGGAAAGTAGAGCTTGGAGTAAGCCAGGTGTTGCAGGGAATGCGGACACTGTCCAAGTAGAGTGTCAGCGTTTTCTGGTACAGTCACCCCTCGGCCTGGTGAGCTCCCGGGTTTCCCACGTCAGTGGGAACAGCTGTGCAGGGGTTTCATGCAGCCTGTTTCAGTGATGCATTGTTTTCTGTTCTCATTTTCCAGTTTGTAAAACCAGAGTGGCCCATGGAACCAGCTCTCACGAGGTGAGTTAAGGAGTTTTTGCAGCATTATTCCCCCACCTCCAGTCTCCCATGGTGGTTTGGTTGCTGCTTTACAATCCTGTTGTAGGTAGAGTGAGGGTTGTACGAAAACCACTTCCTTTTCCCTCCCTCTCCCTTGAGTTTATCTGAAATGAAGTTAAATATGACTTTAACCCCTTGAAGTGGAAGTTCTCTTTCTAGAAGTTTCTGCTCCTAGTAATTCTATTTTTCTTGTTTCTACTAGTATGTAGTCTCCAGTCCTGCTGTGTCTGCAAGACATCTGCTGCTTCTGCCTCTCCTTTGGTGGGGGGGCCACACTAAGTGGTATTTGTACCCACCATGCTTCTCTTCCAAACATTTATCTGGTGCTAGTGCTAAATGTTTTTGTGCTGAGGATGAAGCAGAAGGATGAGCAGAGGCAGGCTGGCTTCTCACAGACCTCTCCTTGAGGGAAAGGGAATAGGAAATATAGACAACATTTCCAAGCATGTTCAGTTCTAATAACATGATACAGCTATAGGAAAAAGAAAAAAAAAAAAAAGGGCTGCTAAAATTATCTGCTTTGCCTCATCCCAATTGCAAATAAAATGGTTGTGCCTTCCTGAGCAGAGTGCGCTTCTATGAGCTTAGCTGCATCTAAATTTAGTCAAGAGGAGCCAAGTCCTGTTTTAATTCTTTTCCATTTGTGCTTCCTGCCTCCCTGCATACCACATCTCAGTTTTAAGAATCCAGTCCTCACTGCTGTCTGTAATATTGCCTGGCTTCCTTTGGTAGCAAGGCAGTAATCCTTCCACGTTTCCCAGCTGCTCCTGAAATATGCGGTATGTTGCTGCTGAAAAATGAAGCACTGAAGTAAAATGCAAGTCTACAGGAGCAGAATGCCTACAGCTAGAATTTGGAGTGACCAACAGCTAAATTTTTTGTATAGGCCTTAGCTTGGACCATTTTCCAAGCATTACACCCAGTCCTGTTAATGTTTGTGGGAGTAGCCACTCAATATTATTGCTCTCATTCACCAGGACTCTTGGGACCAGGTTGCTACTGAGTATAACTGCCCAGTGCGTGGGCAGTTGGGCTTGGACTTGTGTTTCTTTGCACTTTGCAAAGAAAGATGAGTCTTTCTTTGCATGTCGTTTATGCAGCACAGGCATTCCTCAGCCTCCTGCCAGAATTCCATTTTCTGAACAAAATTTAGATTGAATACAGTTGTGGGCTGCAGTTTGTCATGGGAGTTTATGACTAGAACTAGTTTACGACAGTGACCCCCCTAGGGAAAAAAAAAAAAAAAGAAAGAAAGAAATCTTGTGTGATAATTTACACACTTTTGGAGTAGAGTAACTTTAGAGTTACTCTGTTCTCAAGGATGATTTTAAGGTGTATTTAAGGTCAGAGATGAACTATTCTGTAGCTTCAGTTTTATGGCCAGTAATGGCAAGGGAAGTACAGAATAAATATTCTGCTTACAAGACAATGTGTATGAAAGATAGAGTTTAGGACTAGAGCAACAACAACAAAAATATGTTGCCTGTTTTATTAATGACTCCTTCGGTGGCTTTGGCAAATTGTTTAATTTTCTACAGAGAGATTCCCCACTGCAGAGTTGACACTGAAACTAATCCAGCCTGACCAGAAATTTGCTTTACTTTCTAAGATTCAAAGCATTTAGACACTGGCTAACAGGGACAGCTAAAGGTACAGACACGATTTGGGGTTTGCAACCAGTGCTGACAGGATCTGCATCATTCTGTGTAAGCACAAGTTAATTAAGCTGAGGTGCTGGGGGTTTTCCTGCAAGGTCCTGCAGTTCTACGTGGCTTCTGCACTGGAGGTCACATCTGCCACCTCAGCACTTGAACCCCACTTTACCAGCACCATTTATTTTAGACTTGAACAGAGGTGATGCCTGCAAGTGCTTCTTTCCTGCAGCCAGTGGGCTAGACTTTGATTGATCTTCTGGTAAAGCTGCTGTGAAACATTACTGTCATCCATAAGCTCAGGAAGTGCATCCAGAATAACTCTTTTTCTAAATGTTGAGCAGAGAGGAATAAAAAGCAAGAGTCTGAGAAAAAAAGGCACTGTTTTTTCGGGTTGAATTCCTTAATGACGTTGTCGTTAGAAATTCCTGGTGCCAAATGTTATATTTTGCCTTCATTTTGCTCTATAATGAGGAATGCCATTTGGAAATTAAGATGTAAAATATTGTTCCCATGTTACTGCCAGACACAGCAGGTCTGTGCTAGATGTCAAAGAGCGAGTGCACCCTGCAAGCAAATTCTTGGAGCTCCATTCATGCATGCTAAAAACCATGAGACATCACGGGGAACCAGTGCAACATAATACCAAGGGAATTACACGGGTTATGTGCCAGTCCACGGGGTTGTCAGGGCAGAGCTTTGCAGACGAGAGGTTTCACGTGGGTCCCAGTAGCCTGGGTCCGTTTTGTACAGAAAAGATAAACTCTCTGGGTTTCCACACTGATGAAATGGGATGATAAGTACCTGCTCATCTTATGAAGGAGTGGTTTGTGAGGATTCAGTAACAAATGTTTGCAAAGAGGACCCGAGGGATAAGAGCAAAGTGATGTTTGCCAGTATGATATTATAAATATTATAAAGCCAACAGTCTACCCTGAAGGAGGAATAGTGGTTCATGCCACCACTGAGAGACAAATGAGGTCTGATGTTGTTGCTGTGAATCATCTTGGTGGATGACTCTGCTGGCTAGAGTAGGTTTTTTGCACAGGTTATTACCACTCACAAATTCAGTCTGTGCTGACAAACAGATAGCATCTGGTATAATGGAGACAGAGTAAGAATATCAGCTGCAGTAGACACTGAGTGCACCCATTGACTTGAACTCGGAAAATGTTAATTTACTGAGTCTTTGTGCATGCATGCAGACAATTATGTGATCTAATGTGGTCTGCCAGGTAAAGAGGAGAACAGAGTAATAGGTAGAGAGTAAAATGTGCTCAAAATTCTAACTATGAATCTGTATTCACTCTATTATTTACCATGGCTAAGGTTGTGCCATAAATACAAAAAAATATTGCCATAAAGAAGAACATAACTTTTTATATTTACTATTTTTACTACAGGAACAAACTAATATATTGCTAAGAGTTCAGATATACCTCCTTGGTGTCTCAATACACCATCCATCAACTGAGTAACATGTCAAGTGGATAAGTTTATTTTTTAAAATCCTTCCAGTGGCCCTGATTTCAGTAGGACACAGCTAATACCAGAAGGTATGAAAGCTGACAGGAAGTGCTTATAGATAGCAGTAAAACTCCTCTGCATCATGCTGAGGCAAGAATCTACGATTTTATTCTGTATGTTGCTGTGGTGTCCCATGCAGTGGGACCCACAAGAATTCTCTTAATCCCTCTGGACTGACTTTTGTCCCAAGCAAAATATTAGGCTCAAGGAGGCTGCGCCAAAAAAACCTAACAGAGTTCAGAAAAGAGTAGTGTTTCAGAACTTAGGAGCCCCTCTGGCAGATGTTGTGCATCCTGTGCTGAACGGTGAGAGCTAGGTGAGGTGGAAGGTTAAATGGAAGGTTAGACATTTTCTGAGCAGGTCCTCTCTGCGGGAAGATGCTCTAACCAAAGTATCCCTACCTACAGGAGGGAGATGAGAAAGCTTAGCTTAGTTTTGGCAGGAAGAAAATGAGATATACACTGTAGCAGGTTCTGGCCTTGGATGATCCCTAACTCAAAGTGACAGCTACCAAAATACCCTTCTGCCACTGTGGGTAACAAGGCACAGGATCACTGAAATAATGAAGAGAAGTCAGTCTTCAGGTAACAAGCACATAGCTTTTATCGGGGCTTTGAAGCAAGAGAACAAATGAGAGTTTTTTTCTTAACACTTTTTAGGGCCACACTGTAAAGTGATTTCACCAGCCTGGACCATCCTGGTGCTCGCTGCCGGTTCTGCCCAGGAGCTGTGGCAGCATTTGTGCTTCAGCAGCAGACCTCCAAGGCTGGGCACCGTGTTCATGAGAGCTAAATGAGTCTGTAAGGATGGATGTGTCTAGTGGAGGGATTCACCCAGAGAGCAGGGTCACACGTGCTGAGATGCGCTGGCTTCCGTGCTCTTCGAGGCAGCTGTTCAGCACTAAGGCCCTATAAATGATTTCCTTCCTGGCATACTTTTTTTCAGTCCCTTCAAGGGGACTGTGTGTTTTGAATAAGACAAAAAAAAAAAGAAGAAAACAAGCGAAGGATAACACTGGCCCAACATTTGCTAGCAGTGAGCACTACTACATTTCAAAAAAAAAATTCTCTGCTGATGTGGGTGAAGTCCTGTAGTCTAGGACATTACAAATGAGCTCAACTCAACCACTGAAAGGACAGCTGCAGGAAACAACTTACACTGTTAGTAAATTCAGACAGATCTATTCTTCATACTTCTGTCATCCTCAAGCCTTATGTTGTACTAATTTTGCCTACTCTGTTTGTCAAATGGTCTACTCTCTTGTTTTTCATAATGAAACCTGCAATTGTGAAAGTAGTAAATGGAATTGCAACAACTAAGAAGAAAATACAGATACAAGTGGTTTGGGTTGAAAATAAAAACTGCAGTTTCAGTAGTGTTCATAGGGTTCAAAAGATAATGAAATAGGCTTAGATGCTGAGCAGAAATTTGCAACTGGACTTGGAGACTGTATGCATATATATATGTGTGTGTATATATGTGTGTATTCATCAGTAGATGCTGCCCCTTAATTGCTCATCAGGTGATGGTAAATACGAAAGAAGTGACAGACTCAAGCAAAACTTTGTGTGTTTGCAGATGGCAATCATCTTCAACCAGGAGGGCCTGAAGGCTGTCCGTCCCCCTTGTGTCATTCAGAGCTTCATCAACCACAATGCTGTGCTGTATAAAGTGTTTGTGGTCGGGGAATCCTACACAGTCGTGAAAAGGCCGTCTTTAAAAAACTTCTCTGCTGGCATCTCAGGTACGTTGTGCCCGTTTAGAAGGAGATGTGAGTTTTTGGAGCCCTGGCTGCAAACAGCCCAAATAAAAAATAGCTTTGGAAAGGCAGCCGAAGTGAAGGCATCTGGTTTTTACATACCGTGTTTCCTCTTCTGTATTATTTCAATAGGAAGGGAGATAACTCATCTGCTCTGGAATATATGTGAATGACAGTCATATAGTAAATATTTATACAACAGTAACCTGAGTATTACCTATTAGAAAGAGTGTTTTATGTCATGTGGAATGGGAGAAAGATAGAAATTCTCAAGTTTCACAGTAAGTTCATATGTCATTTGTTCCGGAGTTTGTTTATAAATGTGCTTTGGAGAGAATTTCCTGAATTTCATGGTTTTGAAACTTCCTTTCCTTATTTTTACCTTGATTATGTGTGTGTATGTTTAAATTAAAGAGGACTTATACTCTCTCCTGCATGAGTTTATATAAGGCTGAGTGTTTAAAACCTTGATGGTTGTCCTTTGGTTGTCCTTTGGTTGTGGGTAGCAACTGTATTGGAGGAAGGAGGAATAGACTTGTTGGTAAGGACAGCAATCCTCCTGTATGCTCCCAGGTGTGTGAAAGGCTCCTAAAAGATTGCTAGAATTTCCTCAATGGAAGCAGTGCTGTTTTCCATGATGCCTGCAAGCTCTACAGGTGCTCTGTGCTCCTTGGAGCTCCGAGCACATGCAGTCCTGCAGCTCCACAGATCCAGCGGCTAATGGAGGGAAGGGAGCGTATCAAATTAAAGGAAATGAATGAATAAAACACGTGGAAGTTTCTTGGCATTTTTTCTTGGTGTTTTCTGCTGGACTTGGTGGTGAGCACTTAATGTGCTCGCTGTTGGGTTCTGCACACCCTTGTATACTGTGTTAGTTTATGGAGGGCTCAGTAGGATCCTGGTAAAAGTCCTTGTCTGTAGATATATATGCCTGTAAGTCTAGATCCGTTTGCTTTCAGATATGCTCTATGTCTCTGTCCTGATCAAATTAAGAAGGCATGAATCTATTTTTGTATAAAATATTATGATAATCTGTACTCTTACTGGAAGCGAAGGTTTTAAGGCATCTTTCTAAAAATGCCTTCACTAATGACTCATCAGATAGTATGTGGCTGAAAAGTTGTCTGGAAACCCACGTAGAAGTGAGGTTTGTGGCAGACGAGGATAACTATCTGGTCGCCTTGCCCTCATCAGCAGCGGTTTGAGGGGGCTGTGCTGGCGGCGCCTGACGGAGCAGCTCCGGTGAGGAGGCAGCGAGGAGATCCCAGGGCTGCCTGCCCGCAAGCGTGGGGCAGGAGGAAGGGCAGGAGTGTGTGGTGTTGTCGGGCTGCAGGATGGGTTTGGGTTTGCTTCTCGCAGACGCCACGTCGTTACTATCTGCAGCTTTGTGGCTGCGCTGAAGCGTCTCCTTGCAGGAGAGCGCTGAGGTGGAGCTGCGGCGTCGCTGGAGCGGCCTGCATGCCGAGAGGCTTGTCCAGAAGCTCCTGATCGGGTCCGTGTGTGCACGGCTCTCGGCCTGCCATGGCGAGAAGCCGAGAGGAGACTCGTAGGGGTGGATCTCTCCCAGCTGGCAGAGCCTCAGAGCGAGCAGGGAGGAGGGCGCTGGTGCAGTTCTTTGCACGGCTTCCTCTGCAGGGCATTGGTGGCTTCTGGCACTTCAGGCATCTGCTGTGGCACTTGCTTTCATTTGGTGCCGCTGAAGGAAGATCAGGTCCAGAACATAAAATTTCTTGCCTTACTCTGTAGTGAATGTGCCCTCCTTAGGGTCACAGGGATCTCACCTCAGGCTTCGTGCTGTTGATCTACTGCCTGTGACCCGTGTTCCCATTTGAACTGTTGTTTTGAGCATAGCAAATGAGAAATGAACTTGGTTATGTTACTGAGATGGCTTCGTTTGGCTGAAGGAAACATGGTGTGTTTGTGTTAATCCTGTATGGTTCTAGGGGCCCGCAGCCCCTGTGTGACCGGGCAATGTTTTCCTGCCCCTGCTGCCTGCTCCATGCAGGCGTGGGGTGGATGCGGGGAGATGGTCCCTTATTGATCAGCCTGGATTCCCTGGGCAGCAGTGCCACCTACCGTTCCCTGCACTAGAGCCTAAGCCCAGTGCAAAGTCACTTACAGTCTTCTTTTAATTTCAGACAGAGAATCTATATTTTTCAACAGCCACAATGTTTCGAAGCCAGAATCGTCATCCGTGTTAACAGCGGTAAGTATGCTCGGTCTCTGCTCCTCTAGCTTGGCTGGAAACGTGTATCTAGTCCTTTCTTATCGAAGCATTAGTAGGCAGTGACCCTCCTTCACAAGTTGTGTGCTTCTGTGTTGCAGGCTGAGGTCTGTTTGGTACAAGGAAGCAGCTTTCCTGGGTGTCCCTCGGGTTTTCCTTACCGAGCTCCGGTGAGGAAGCAGTGCTGCAGCAGGCCTGTCTGCTGCTCACCAGGCTAAACTCCCCACAGTTAATCTAGGCAAAGGGAATAAGAAGATTCTGAATACAAATATCTGGCCTTTTCCTGTCCAGGGAGCTTAATAAGCATAAATCATCCTTCTAGGACTCAGTTCTGTGAGGAAAGACAAACGATGAAAATTAAAGCAGAGAAATTGTATTGGGACATGCAGGCAGTCCTGAGCTGCGGCCGGAGAGCATCTCCAGCTCCTTCCGAGTCCACTGCCTCAAGCACGTCACCGGTTAATGCGTGCATTACCAGTCCTTTTAATAAGCTTTGTGCAGGTGAATCCTAACAAGTTCTGAGGCCTTCAGCTGCTCTGAAAGTCACTTTACAGGACTGGGTCCTTCAAATCTCTGAGTCTGCAGATTCTTTTCTGTTTCATACACTCTATTTGGGAGTCGCTTCATAGCCAGAAATGGCTATGAATAGCCAGAAATTATGAATAGCTAGAAATGCATAACTTGCAATTATGTATGACAAGGATGGACATGCTAAATTTTAGAGTTATTATTGTGCTAGTCATAAAACCCTTTGTGGCTAAATTTATTTAACTTGCGGAGAGCATTTCCTCTTGTGGTTAGTATCCTTATGCCATATAACCTGTTACTTAAGTAGTGAAACAATTTACATTTTCAAGTAACCTGAGTCATTCTTAGTAAAATTTGAAGGATCATTCACACATCTAAACCCCCATTAAAAACTAGCCCATTTGAATTAGACTCTGCCTGAAGATATCAGTCAGTTATGTTACATAGTTTAGATTAATTAAATGGAGAACTCTGTGTTATCAGTCTTTTGACACATACGCTAATCTACATGGAAATAACAGAATGATAACCAGAATATTTGCAGTGCAGGGCTAAACACACTAGCTTTGTTTGATTTTTGGGGGGTATGGATCTAGTATTTTAAATAGTGAATCTGATTCTTTGTTCAGTCCTACACTGACGTGTCTCTCCAAGGTATTGCACCAACATAAAACAGAAAAATCCTTGGTGCGTTAGAGTGGATGAACTTGTGATAAGTATAGGATTCTAAATTGTAAAAGAAGTTTCTCTTTGTTTCTTCCTCTGTTTCATGCCACCAGTTCTCTGCAATAAGATTGGGTGGATATACAATTGGAAACCTCTGAAAATTAATCTTTTCAATAAAAACTGTTTTCAAGTCCCTTAGTAATGTGTCTTTTTCCACTATAGCTTGATAAAATCGAAGGAGTGTTTGAGCGGCCCAATGACGACGTGATCCGGGAAATCTCCAAGGCACTGCGGCAGGCTCTGGGAGTTTCCCTCTTTGGAATTGATATCATCATTAACAATCAGACTGGGCAGCACGCGGTCATTGATATAAATGCATTCCCAGGTGAGAAAGCCTTTCCACCAAGGCTACATGGAAGCCATGGTCCATGGGCTTAGTGTGAAGCTTTACTGATGGTGTCTCATCCATGAGGGAACAGGAGAGCAGTAGACAAGATCAGACACTGATCTAGAAAGGGCAGAACATCTAGCCGTGAAATGTGCTGCTGAAATATTAGTTCTTAGGAGGCAATGACCAAAGTTGAGTGCCCAGCTCTAATGCAGTTTAACATAGGCCCTGGTCTACCCTGCAGACAGGATGCCCAGAGCAATAGCATGGGACTGCATAGTGGGACCTGACCTCTCTAGGCCTGTCTTTTATCCTAAAGATGAAGAAAGGAACAAAAAAATCTATTCTTGGAGAGCCTCAAAGAGGGCTTTTGTACAGACTGTGCAGTTAAAGGTACTGAGGGGGTGGAAGAAGCAAACTGTTCCCTTGAAAATCTCTTCCTTTGCAAATTGATTTTTCATGAAATGACATTTTATGTGTGACATCAAAAATATGAATCTGGGGAGGATACTGAAATTGTAGGTGTGCAGGACTTTCTATAGAGTGTTAAATATCCTTGCAAGTTGTCAAAAGGGGATCATGGAGTAAAAAAATAAATTAGACCTTGAAAACAGGTAAATTTGTCCCACATTTTGTTAGTACAACCTATGTCTTAGAAAAAAATAAGATTTTTAATCACTGGAGTTGCTAAAAAGGAGCAGTAAGTGTGCATAGTGGGAGATAATACTTTGACTTTTGTGTTACATTCAGTAATCTAGTACAGGAAAATAATATAACCTCATCTGAGGTGATTGCTGTATTATATGGG